GACAGCGACACTCTGAAATCATCTTGTGGATTTAGTTGTGGTTTCTTCGCCCTCTGTCCACCCTCCGTAGCATAGTGGCACGCAGTGGGCATGTTGAACAAATTGGTGAACAAATGAGTGAGACTCATTCCAGGTGGGCAGGGACTTTGGAGACCCTAAGGCATGTGCGGCACCCGAAGCTGGACCTTGAGGCTGCTGAGTGAGGGACAGTGGAGACTCACCAAGGTGAAATCAGATCCGATTCGCCTCTAAGAGCTTTGTGTTCCTATGCTAGTTGCCTAACATCTGTGAGCTTTATCTTCTGGAAAATGGGACCAGGAGCACCTAGCCTACTGGGGTGTTGCTGGATCAACAAGGTAATTCAGAAGAAGTTGGAGGGGGGCTGTCTGTCCCTAGTGCTGGGAACTGTCTGCCACACTCCATAATGCTTGTTAAAAGAATGAAGGGTTGATAAAGAGCTTGATACACATCAGCGTGTCCATGCTGCCACTGAAGTCAGACGCACGATTATTTCCTGAAGCACTGAGAAAGAAAAGTTGTTTAAATATTGTGAATGAAGCCATAACCCATTGCTCTCATATCACCTGGAATTTTTATTTTATACTTACTCAAAGATCTCTTTTAGGGTTATTATGATATATATATATATATAAAATAAATATATATGATATATATATATCATATATATATATGTATATATTTAAAATCACAGATCACTGTTAAGTTTACTTCAAAACGGCAACTATCAGCGCAATCAATCATCAGTGGAGGTATTCCTAAAACTTCTTTGAGGTCAGAGGTACCTCTCTCAATGGACACCCTCTAAGCTACTTCTCCCCTGTGAATTTCTTGGCCTAGCTGAAGGACTCCCCTCTGTGGTCTTCCCATCCAGGGTTGGTCCCTGAGAGGCCAGGGGCCACCACTGTCCACTGGAATGGCTGGATAACTTCAGCAGTACCCCTGTGAGAGTGGGTGGGGGTCAGATGGAGCATGCATGACACCCACAGCCTCTGGGACCCTCACCCCCATCCCAACTGTCATGGAACCCAGATTTTACAAATGGTAAGATGCTGTATTTTAAGTGGAGACCTAGGAACACTACTGTGTAAGAACTAAGACAAATTGAACTTCTGAAGTCATACCATGAGAGTCCCTCTTCCAAAGTCAGAAAGGTCCCAAGAGGGAAGGCCCTGCCCTGGAGGAGCCAGTCCTGGTGCAGGAAGTTATGAGTGGCCCGGGGACCAGAACAGGGTGCGAGAGCTGAGTCAGAGCCGGACCGACTCAGCACCTGCTGGCCCGACCTTCCTGCCTTGCCCACCAGAGTGAGGAGTCCCAGCTCCCTTTGCCTCCCTAAAGTGAGGTTGGGGAGGTGGCATTTGAGAAGTTTTTCTTCAGATCCGAGATCTGGCCCCAGGCTGAGTTGGGAGGTAGGGTGGGGGCGGTAGGTGGGACGGCTTGGGAACCCAGCCTGGACTGAGGGGGAAGAGGTTCCCAGCTTCAGCTAGTTTTCGTGGACACAGAAACCCAGGATGGGCTCAGGGATGTCCTTTGCGTTTCTTCTCCTTCAGGTACTGTCATTTCTAGGACGGAGAGGCTCCCTGACCTGTAGAAAGAAAATCGGGGGTGGGGGACGACTGAAAACAGAGGAGGTGCCAGGATTCTGCTGCAACTCTGGAACTTCAGGAAAATGAGGAGAGGTGGCCAAGAGGAGGTCTCACTCCGGGTTAAGAGGACTGCATTTTGACCACTCCTGGCCCGCCCGGCTCTGTTTCTCTGTAGGCACAGTAAGACAGTGACCACGGCTCCAAGAGACAAAAACCTTAGATTCTGCTGCAGTCAACGTGTGGCGGGACCCGCGCTTCTTTTTTTCCTCTAAGTCCCCACGAGTGACCCTCTAGGGAAATCCAGAACAGGGAAACATATTTTTAAATATGTTTCCAGAGGAACATATTTTTTAAGTGGGGAGCCAAGGGGAGGGATGGGGCGACCCGGCTCGCGACTGCGCCTGTGACTCTCCTGGTGGTGCGGGGGCTCTGCTTGGAGCCCGCGGTGAGCTGGAATCTCCAGGCCCGCCGCAGCTGGCCCTCGGTTCCCCACACGCCTCCTGCGTGCCGGGCCCAGTTGGCGCCGCCCAAAGCTTCTCCCTCCCGGGACTCCAGCTCCCCTCTACTGACCAGGAGAGCGTCTTGCTCCGGGCCAGGAACACACCAGTCGCGAAGCGACTCCCTTCTCCATCCCCGGCCCAGGCCCTTGTGCCAATCCTCCCCTAAAGACTCCCTCATTCCCCAAGCCACCTTGAATAAAGCATACTGAGCGCAAACTTTGCGCCGTTGGCTGAACGCTGCCGCCAGGCTAATCCCAGCCCTCCCTCCGCCCCCAGCCCTTCGCGTCCCCAGGGTCCTGGCCGTCGCGGGCCCTCCCCCCCTCCCGCTGGGCCACAGCTCTCGCGAGACTCCCAAGCCCTCTCCCTCCCCTGGCCGCGGCCCAGGGGCTCCGGGAAGCTCATCCACCGCCTAGGCCGCCTGCGCCATCTCTGCGTTGCGTTTCCCAGGACCTTGGAGGTGAGAAGAGACTTGTGCAGAGAGGGGATCCAAGGGATCTTTTCTTCAAGCCCCGGGCCTGAAATGAGGGATGCAGCTGCTGCCTGCAGGCAGAGACCACCTCAGCGCTTGATGGCTGGGGCGCAGTGGCACGCAGGGCAGGCTCCAGGGAGCTAGGGTCCGGCACGTGCAGCCGGCCGGACCGCGTTACCTTGGAAGACAGGATGGGGTCCGTTTACCTAGAGGGGAAGCTTCGCGGGCTGGGTCTGCACCGGGTCTCTGGGCCGCGGGCAATCATCTGCCTCTGCGCCTTAGCTCCCTGGAGCAGGCCCGGAGCTACCGTCGGGTCTCAAGGATTCCACCAAGCAAGGAAGCCCTGATCTGCCCAAACACTACAGCGCGCAGCCCGCTCCTCTTCCCCCGTCTCGGGGTCTCGGTCTGCCTCTGCGTTCCCTGTCCCGCCAAGGAGTACAGAGGCAATGACAAAAACTCCACCCCTCCCGCCCTGCAGGGCCTGGAATCTGGCTTCCCTCATTTGAGGCCCAACTTCCCCACTGACCCACAAGTGACCCCCCCACCGGAGTTCCCTCATCAAGTTCCCCTCTGCGCCCGGAGGGGGCTGTTCCCGCGGAAATATTAGGGCCCTTATGCTCTGACTCCGGATTGGCAGGACCCCCCCTTCCCCACCTCTCAGACCCCTGGTCCTACAAAGACCCCTAGGCCCAGAACAGCGAGGCATCTTGGGAAAATGCCAAAAACTCACAGGGCGGCTAATCTGCCGAAGGTTGCCTTCCTCGGATTTAGTAAAACGAGCGCCTTGAAGGAACTGTGACTGATGCTGGTCAGATCCCCCTCCTTGACCCTCTTGAATGGCATAGGTGCATTCTACCTTCTTCCACAACTCTGCATGGTTGACAGAGACACAGCTGGAATCCAGGTCCCTCAGGCCTCCCTTTCCACAGAAGTCAGACCTTCACTTCCTGTCCTTTCAAATAGGGAGGATTAAATGCAGTCTCATAAGTCACTTGGCTGTTGGGATCAGTGCAGGAAACTTACTGCAGGGTCGCTAGGTTGAAAGACCTAGGAGTAACCCCAAGGCTGGAAGGGATTAGGGGGCGCAGTCGCATTCTTATGATTCATTCATTCCAGGTGGTCAGGGTTGGGAAGGTTTTCGGGCTTCTCAGGAAAAGCAGGCCAGTAGTCTGGGAGCTGTTTGCAAGGCTGAATTACGAACCCTGAGTGAGCAAGATCTAGTTTCCCACACCTGGCAGGACTAGGGTGAGGACAGTGGCTGCACCCCTCAGAAAGTGCTTGCTCTCTCCTCCCCTCCTCATGCCCTCCCCTGACCCCATTCCTTCAGGCCTGGAGGTTCCAGGAGGGAAAGTCCAAGCTCAGGTTCTGGGAAGAGTCTATCAAGCCGAGATCTGAAAGGGAAGGTGCTGTCACAGTAGTGGGGCGGCCAGAAGAGGTCATGTTTACAATCTGAAATACAAAGCCTGAAGCTGAATTTTGTATTTGTTTGCTTGTTCCTGAATCTCTTTTTTGTAGTTGTTCCTAAATCTCTTTTCCTCTTTGAGCATCGAAGGACCTGGCTTCAGGAACTCCACGTGGCCAAGTTTCAGTCTTCTTGAGCCAGTAAAGAGGCCATCGCTCCATCCCCACCTCTGGTCACCCTCCCCACTCCCAGCTTCAGGAAGCAGAAGGACAGGAACCCACAGGCAGCCCTGAGCCCAGCCTGGACTGTGAGAAGGCAGCTGAAACCTTCTCCTTGAGAAAGGGATACCTGAGGGCACACGAAGCCAAGATGTGCCCCTGCAAGGGACCACCCTCCCTAGCCCGGTGTCTGAATCCTCTCTCTCCGTCAGCCAGGTGCCCTGACTGCCAAAGCCGGAACTCAGCAGCCCAGGGCTGCCGCCTGGAGTATCCTATGCAAAATGTGCAAACTCTGGGGAGCCACTGCCGCTGCCAGGACCCGCGGGTGGGCTGCCGCACTGGTGGGCGGCTCTGTCCAAACCTCGTGCCCTCGGCTTCCCATCGCCTCGTAAAGGATTGGTCAAGACCATCTCAAGGACTGCACAAACTGGTCCTTCAAGTTCCAGGAAACCGAACCAGCAACTGAGGCGATTCTCAGGCCCGCCACTTGCAGAGCGAGCTCTGCGGCGGACCTCCGCTCCCGCTCCTCTGGACACCCGCGGTGCGGCCAGACCGCTCCTGCCCGCGGCGCTCCGGCTGGCAAGGAAGAGGAGGTGGAGTTCAGATTGGCCCCTCACGCCCAGAGTGGAAGCAACTCCTAGGATCCTGCAGCCACCGAGCCGCCCGCCGTGCCTGGCCCGGGCTTGTGGTCAAGAGCACAGCTACCTTCCACACAGCCGGAGGGAAGGAAGTTTTAGAAGCAACCGTTCTGCTTATCTTACCGCGCCCACCCCCACCCCCTGCGGATTCAGAAGCTGCTCCGCCTAACCCGATTGTGTCATAAAATATTTTATTGGAAAAAAAGTCACCATCTTCGCAAGAAGGGGTAGGGGCCCCAGAGACTTCGGGGACCCGGCCTCCAGGCCGAGCCGACTGGTTGCCCGAGGGTGGAGTGGTGGGGAGGAGCAATCTCAGGCCGTAGAGGCCTGAGCCCAACCGCTGGGTCGCCGACGTCCAGAAACGGGTGTGTGCCTGGAGGCTCTGTGGCCGGGAGGGCAGGCCCCAGACAGGGTGGGGGTGCAGGCGAGGAGCCGGGCGTGAATGCGCGTGGAGCGCTCTGCGCCACGGAGCTCAGGGCAGCGACTAGTAGCTTCCGCTGCACTGGACGCGAGTCTCCCAAGTTAGGGCCCAGAAGCGCGCTGGGACCTGGGTCTGGCTTTAGGTTCTGTGTCCTTCCTCGTTTGGCCCCAGTTGTCCGCATTCAAGATCATAATAAAAACGTTTAGGAAGTAAACGTCTTGGACGCGGAAGGGACGGCTAGCGGGTTTCCGCCGGGTGAAGGGGCTGCGGGCGGCCTGGGCATCCCCGGCCCCGTACCATATACCGCCCTTAGTCCTCGCGGCTTTGGTCGCTGGGCTCGCCAGGCACCTCCGCCAGTTTCTCTGCATCCTTGGCGCGCTCCTGCTCAGTGAGCTGCTCGCTGGTTGGAATCGAGTTCTTCTTGGGCCGCCCCTTGGGCTTGGTAGGAGACTCCAGGCCGCCGCCCTGCAGCACCTGTACGGGGGACCACCAGCCCCTGGGTGAGCCAGGACGCGGACTGTGGACCCCCAAGGAGACCTGCACCCAGGTGGGACTAAGGAATACAGGAGACCATATGAGGAAATGGTGGGGAAATGCCCCGGGAAATGGCAGCTATTTGTCGGAATGCCGCTGGGGAGCGGCGGCCTGAGGCCTGGCCAGGGGAGCATAAGACTGCCAGGAGGCCTGAAGGTGACCAGGGAGAGGAAAAAATGTTGGTTTAGCCAGGCACCCAAGGGGCAGAGAGAACTGAGAGGGTCCCAGTGCGTACCACGCACCGAGGGAATCGGGAGGTTGGGCAGAGTCTCCGCAGGGAGAAGGAGGAGAGCAGCTCTGCAAGGCACCCGGGCAAGGCCCAGGAAGCCGAGGGGCTGGACGCCACCAGGGCCACTCACTATTTTCTTCCACTTCATCCTCCGATTCTGGTACCAGGTCTTCACCTGCAACTGGCTCAGGCCCAGGGACTCAGCAAGATCTATTCTGTAAAGAGCAGGGCGCACCCTCAGCAATGCAAGCGACCACACTCCCACAGCCAGCTGGCCCCAGCCTTACCCCGCCCTACCTGTCCGGCGTGGAAAGGTACTTCTGCTTCTCGAAGCGTTTCTCAAGGCCCATCAGTTGCAGCTCCGTGAACACAGTGCGGCTGCGACGCCCCTTCTTGGCCTTGGTGCCTGGCTCCCCAGGGCCTGACGCCTCTAGCTTCCCGCGGAGTTGCAACTCAAGCGGCAGGTGTGGCGCACCCCCGGCGCAGGGCAGCCCAGGCCCGGCCGCCAGCAGTGCAGAGCTCAGCCCGGAACAGCCCAGCGGCGCCAGTGGGAACTTGAACACAGCCGCCTGCTCGGCCTTCAGTACGGCTGCGAAGAAAGAGAATGGGGAGCCCGGTGAGCCAGGGCCGCTCTCTTCTGCCCGGGGACTGCCGCACCACGTGCCGCGGGAGTGCTCGTGCTTGGCCAGAGCCACCCAGCGCAAAACCTCCACGCCCTGCCGCTTGGCGCCATCGGCGCCGATGGAGACCCTCCTCAACGCCACTGTTCCCCAAATCTGGGAGAGAGGATCTCCCCGACCCTGTGCTCTGTCCTGAAGTTCCCTAGGCCTCAGCTGCCTCTGAGATCTTGGGGTTCTTGATGAACATGTTTGCAGCTGCGAGAAACTCAGCGTGTGTTTTGTTCTTTGGGGTAAAAAGAAACCAAACAGAAAACGGCAGCCGGTTAAGAAGCTGGGCGTTTGCTCCAATCAAATCAGCATTAAAAATGTGCAGGGAGCGGGCACATTTGCGCTTCCGTGCCTGGCACAACAGCCATGGGTGGCCAGGCATCATCTGGGCTGGGGTTGGGTGCTTCCTGGAAATTCCAAAGTACCCTGAGAACCCGTAAATTATTGTTCACGTTTTCTATCTTCAGAGGCTTCCCCAATGAAAATGTTTCCGTTTTCTTCTGTCCTAAAATGATTTTGTGCCCGCTTCAAACGAATTATTAACAACAGGGCAGATGGAGATGAAAGGTGGCAGAATGGCTGAGTCCCAGATGGACTTAGAAGAAGCGTGCTGGCCCTGCCGCCTCTGGCCTGGGGAGCACTGGCTGGGAGGTGGTGGGTGCAGGGAAGGAGGCTTGAAAGGCTGGGGTCCCGGCTACAGCGTAGGAACCTTCCTTCTCCCGCAGGCCTGTCACTGAGGGGCGAGTCCTAGCCCGGCTGGAGTCGGAAAGGGCCGGGCAAGGCTTAGGTAAATGTAGGCGGAGGTCCCATAGGGTAAAGGTGGGAGATGGGAGGCAGACGAACCCCAACGAGAGAAGCCGAGGGAGGCCAATCGGTGAACGGGTGGAAATCGAGCTAGGGAAAGACAAGATGAGCGTGGAGTGCGATGGAGACCGCACCATCAGGGCAGGCCAGGCCCCGCCAAAGAAGGAGAAAGGACAGAAGCTGAAAAGGTCTGCGCAGGCCGCTCAAGCCCTGCAGAGGCCCTGCCGACCTGAAAGCAGAAGGGACAGCCAGGCAGCTGTTCACAGTCAGGCCTCTGGCCCCGAAGCAAGGCCCAGGCAGGTCCGCACTGCGGCCAAGGCCGCTTTCCTCGAGCGCTGGAGCTCCCGGGGGCTCGGGGTCGGTTTGGGCCCGCGTCAGCACCCAGCCCTCGGGAGTGCAGGCCTCCTCCCCAGGGGTCCGACTTCCCCGGCTTGGGCAGCCGCGGCCACTCCCGGCCGGCCCTCTGTGGCGAAGCCCAGGCGCCCGTGGCCTGAGGTCCCTTCTACCCGCAAGGGTTGGTAGCCTGGTAGTGCGCCTGCGATGGGGATGGGCACTCGGGGTCCCAGGGCTGAAGGCCTAAGGGCGGCGGTGAAGGAGAGAGCGAACACCCTCCCGGGGCGGCAGGCGGGCACGAGGCCTGGTTTCTGTGCGGCCTGGCGCCTGCACCCCCCGCCTCCCGCCTGGAGGGCTCGGAGAGACGGTCCCAGAGCCTGCGCTCCCAGAGCAACTTCCAGGGACTGCTTCGAGGCGGGGAGAGGAGGCTCAGGGCGCCCCCCGCAGTTCAGCTCACTGTCTCTGGCCAAGCCCGACCCGCGACCCCGCGGCGCCACACGTACCCAGGTGGCTGTGGAAGGGCCGCGCCGCCAGCAGCGCCTGCACGCCGAACTTCAGCAGCTCCCCCGCCGCAGCGGCGGCGGCAGCAGGCGCGGCGCCCTTGGGCCCCGGCGGCTCCGTAAGGATCTCCTCAATCATGAAGCTGCGATAGCGGTGCGACCGGTGGTCCGCGCAGCCCTCGGGCGGGCCGAAGCGCGCGGCGCCCGGCTCCCCCTGCCGCTGCATCGCGGCGCCCACGGCTGCGCCCGCGGTTTGGCTGCGGCGGCGGCGGCTTGGCTCCGGCGCGGGGCCCGCGCGGGGCTCTAGGCCGGCCCGCAGCTCCGGGCGGCGCGCGGGTGCCGGCTCATGCCCCCTCCCCCGCCGGCCGGCCGGGCGGAGGCTCAGGGCGCGGGCGGGGCGCGCGGGGCTCGGCCGGTCGGACCCGGGACTGCGCCCCCGCCCCGCGCCGCCGCGCCTCTAGCCCGGCCAGCCCCGCGTCACTGCCCCGCCCCGCCCCGCCCCGCCCCGCGCCGCCGCCCCCAACCCCTGGGCTGAGCCGGAGGGAGGGACCCAGAAGGGAGGGAGGAGGAAGGGAGGCCGAGAGGGAGGGGGCCGCGTGAGAGAGGCCGGTCGACCGAGACCAAGGGAGACCTAGCGGAGCGCACGCCCTGGAAGGAGAGAGCCGGAGAGTTCGGGAGACGAGACCCTCAGAGACAAGAGTCGGAGGGATCAAACGACACAGGTGAGAGAGGGGGCAAAGGGAGACGGCGTGGGCAAACAGGATTCGAGACGGTGTTACGAGGGTGCCAGGGACGCCACGGAGATGTGCGCAGAGAGACCGACAGAGGCGTGAGAGCCAGCGGGCTCTGACGTGCCGGAGGGCACAGAGGCAGGCGGGGCAGAGGGAGGGGGCGGTAAAGAAAGGGGACAGCTAAAATTCGAGCGGCCTGGTCAGCGGTTAGGGAGCCCCGGAAAGGCCAGGAGGAGGAGGGGCAAAGGCCGCTCTGCTCAGCTGGGAAGAGGTGGCTTCGTGCAGCCTACAGGCCAGGGCTTTGGACCGCCAACTCGGCAAGGGTGCGGCAGCGTGCAGGGATGCAGGGAGCAGAGAGGTCGCGGCACCTGTGCACTCCTCCCACCTCTGCCTCAGTTTACCATGCACGGCCTCATTTCGCTCCATGCTGCCCTGAGAGAAAAACGTTCTCCAGCCGAGATTTGCTTGAATTGCAAATTCAAGTGATCCCTGGACACATCCTCCTTGACAGCCCCCAGGAGGCTGTGGGCTGGTTACATCCCCCTAGACAGAAAAGGAAAAGTATTCAGGGAGAAGGGAAGGATGAAGCTTTGCCTTTTCTCAGCCTTGGAGCGTCAAGAAACCGTTACTGGGTGGAGCTGGGGCCAGGGGCCACAGGGTGCTGCGAGAGTCTGAAGATCAAACTCTGGTGTGACCTGGCTCTATTGCGGAGCCTCAAAGCCTCCATCATGATGGAGGAAGTTGTCAGTGCCTTCTGTAGAACTTTCTTTCCACCATTAGAAAAGTATAAGCCCAAGCCTTGGGGTGAACAACCCCAAAGCTACTCTACCCTGAGCTCCTCTCTTTGGTCCTGCCAGTACTGGTCAAACCACTGCCCCTTTCTGGGCCTCAGTTTCCTGACCTGTCCCAAGGAGATGCTGACACTTGGCTCCAGGGAGACTGTGAGAACTCAGTGGGGGGATCTTGCCCCCTCAGAGCCTTGAGGTCTGTTTGGAAAGAAAACAGTTCCTCCAGGCAAGAGGGGAGAAGTCCCCAGGAGGCTGGGAGAGGAGCACCTGCCCTTCTTCTTGTCAGGAATCACAGGTCCTACCTCCCAGCCCCATCCACCACTGCAAGTCAGCGTCTGACCCGCTGTGGGTGTTCTGGGACACCCCTATGTCCTATGTGAGCTCTATGCGAGGCCTCAGTCTTCACTTCAGGTAACTCGGGCTTAGCACACCTACGGCCAGGCCCTCTACCCAAGTTGAAGTCCTTTCTCCAGCTCCAGCTGCTGGTGGGGAGGTCTTCAGGCTGGCCCGTAGCCCCTGGCACCTGCCTTAGACTCAGGCCTGGGGGTGGAGGACAGGTGGGGAGGACTAGAAGGTGGCCCAGATCCTTTGTCGGTAGGGGCTCGAGTGGGGACAAAGACTACCTTACTCTGGTAAGATTCCAATCCCCAGAGCCCACTGTCTCTCATTCCCAGTTGTTACACTTCCTGAACTTGGAGTTACCATCGGGAGTGAAAAAAGGTGGCCTATTTTCCGGTTAGAGAGCCCCAGAAAAGTCAGGAGGAGGAGGGGCACCCTTTCCAAAGAACCTCTGGGAGGGAGGTGCTGTGAGCCTACATAGTTCTTTGGAAAGAGTGGAGAGGGGTCAATAAAAGCAACAGTATCCCCCACTGAGCAGGCATCCTTGTGAGAGACGAAGAGACCATGAAGCTGGCCCTCTTGTTGTTGGCCAAGCAGCCACCAACCTCCTACCTGGCAAATAGAAACAAGCCAGTGTCTCCTGGAGGCTGGGGCAGCCCAGTCAGGCTCCACCCACCCATGGGTAGCCTCCCAGAACCCTCCCTAGATGGGTGCGATGGTATTACTCAATCCAACCACCTCCTTTTCTCAGATGGGAAACTGAGGCCCAGCAAGAGGCAGGGCCTAGTGCAGGGACCACACTGAGTAGGGCTGGTTTACTATTGCTCCTTGCACAGACTCTGTCAAGCCCTTCCCCCCACCCTCACCTCCCCATCCCAGCAGGGCCCTTGCCCCCCTCCTTACCCCCTGGCTTCTACATCTCCCTAAGGGCAGAGCCTAGTGGTGGTTTCTCCCTAGGATAGGCTCAGCTGCCCTTGGTCCCATCCCCTGTTATTTGGGCCCTAACAGAAGCCACCCAAATTTGAACCATCTCTTCTCCTCCCTCAAGACCTGAGGGTCTCACGTCCTCTAAATGAGTCCCCAGACCCCAGATCCAAGGATCTGGGGATCACACTATTGATCAGCTGTCACTAAACTTATTTTACTACGGGCCATCCTTCTGGGGTAGCTTCTTGGTCAGGTTGCGGGGAGGGGGTCATTTTCAGGATGGAGGCCTCATCTCTAGATTTTGGGGAGTCAAAAGACTAGTGCAGCCCAGCCCTCACCCTATTCCACAGGTGTGCACCCTCAACTCCTTGGACACTGGCCAGGACCATTTCCTGCAGCCCCAGGCTGGGACTGCAGCATGAACAGAGGACAGCTTCCGGAATGAGGTCCTGAGGGCTGGAAGGAGAATGCCCAGCGCCTGGGGAGCTTTGGGAGACCGCAGCTGGCTCAGGGCCTGAGAGATCCAGGGCCCTGCCCCCGTCTCCCAAAACAGCTCCCTGGCAGGTCTGTCCCTGGTGTCCCTGGCTCCTGCCAGACGCAGCTTCCCCGTTGCCGGACCTCGGCGCAAACCCGCAGATAAACCCCTTTTAGGCGAAAATTACACAAAAACGGCGGCGGCGGGGCCTCTTCTGCTCAGGCACTGCCGCGTTGGCGGCAGGAAAACACGCTCCCAGAGAACGGGAACCCCCTCCCTGTCGGTGACAACGAGGCCCAGAGAGGGGAAGCCTCCTCCCCAATGGGGTGCAGTCTGGGATCGCAATCCCACCCCAGGGGCGCAGCTGCCAGCCCGAAGCCTGGGACAGACCCCTCCCGAGGCCTCTCGCCGCCGCCGTGAAAATCCCGGAAACCGTCCTGCTAGCGGCGGGCGCAGTGGAAAAGGTGACCTCAGCGCCCCGGGCCGGCCGCCCTCCCTGGCAGCAGGGCGGCGAGGGGCTCCGGCCGGCAGGGGCTTCTCGGAGTCGCCCGGTCGCCGGGTGAGGTCCCTTGGAGCATAGAACCGGTCTTCTCCCCACCCCTGTTCTGCCCCTCAGACCCCACAGACCCTTTGGAGGCTGCGGAACAGGGAAGGGACCACCTCATTCCCACAACTGAATCTCTTAAGCATTCAGGTGTAGGTTCCAGAATGACCTCCCTTCCACCCACACCATCCTCCTATCCCAGCTCCTCCCAGACGGGATTGTAGAATGGCTTCCCACGCTAAGGGGTCCTGAAGCCGTTCGTCGTACAGAAGGGGGAAGTTGAGTTTGGAAGGAGCAGCCGGGGCAGGCTCGGCGGCCAGCGGCCGGGAGATCGTGCATTGCTTGGAAGATGCTGGGCTCTTCTCGTCCTTCTCGGCCGTGGGCAGTTTGTTTCCGCTCCCACTTGCGGCGTGTCTGCATCTTAATTAGCAAAACGAAGTTGGGGCCGCGGGGGAGCAGAGGTTTCTTCCAGAACGGTCAGCTCACCTCCGGATGCAGTCGCCAGAGCAGCCGCCTGCGGGGGATCCCTGCCCTCTCACTGGTGGGCGTCCAGCCCCTAGGGGCCCAGGCGGCCCGCGCCACCACACCTCGAGGCCTTCTGTTCCCGATGCAACCTGGCTGCGCCCCGCCGCCCAGCACACAGTCGGCCCCTGGGGACCAGTCGCGAGCGCCCAGAATGGAGTCCCTTCCCCTTTTCTTTTCCTTCCGTTCTCTTCCTTCCTTCCTTCCTTTTTCTTTCTTTTCTTTCTTTTTCTTTTTTCTTTCTTTTCTTTCTCTTTCTTTCTTTCCTTTTTCTTTCTTTTTCCTCTCTCTCTCTCTCTCTCTTTTTCTTTCCTTTCTCTTTTCTTTTTCCTTTGGTTCTAATTGTCCTCGGCCCCAGTAGGCTGTTGGTGGCGTTCGTGGTGCCGCTGGGACTGGGGCACCGGCCTGGGCCGCAGGTGTACTGGCCCGGCAGAGGCCGCCTGGACCTCTCCCAGAACTCATCGTCCTGATGGACTACGGTGCGCGCCCTGCTTTTGCCGGGAGCCAAGACTGGCAACATCTCTCCTAGCTTCAAAACAGAAAATCTTGGAATTATAAAATTATCCCGTCCCTACGCTTACAGGCCACTATCTCCTGGAGACCACCGACTGGCTTTTTCTTTGGAGAAGCCAGTCTCAGTGACGCTTTATTTTGCGAAAATTTCGAACTCAAATGTGGGCATTCGTTTTGAGTCATTTTAAAGTCCTAGAAGCCCGGGGTCAAATTGCGTTTGGGGTGACAGCGCCTTTAGACATATCCCCCTCTTTCCAAGCTCCCCCTCTTGGAGCAATTTACAAATTTGTTCCTTTGGAATTCGTTACCTTATTTTTGTTTTGTAAGTTTTGTTGTTGATTTTTTTAATGTGTAATTTTCTATGGAAGTGTGAGTTTAAATAGATCCAACAGTCCAGGGTGCTGGCAAGTGCCTGTAGTCCCAGCTTCTGGGCAGGTTGAGGTAGGCGAATTCCTTCAGCCCAAGAGTTCGAGGCTGCAGTGAGCTATGATTGCCCCACGAAACCCGCCTGGGCAATAGATCCAGACCCCATCTCTTAACAAAAATAATACATAAAAGATAGATCCTTAGATAGGTAATAAATAACTCGCTTCCGCGAAGCAGCGATGACCCGGTTCTTAGCGGCCCGGGAACCCGAGGCGACGCTGCTGGACGTGCGCCGCCAGCCCGCCGCTCCTGGCCCTACAGGCCCTGGACCGGTCCCGCCTCCATTTCACACCCATCGCTGGCCAGCCCGGGCGGCTTTCACGGCGACCTTGCATCCGAGTCCAGTCGCGCGAACCAGCGGGACCTGAGGCCACACGCAGAGCCAGGAAGTAGCTGTCTGGTTGCCGGGGCTCGGTGGGGCTAAGCAGCGCGGGCCAGAGCTGCTGGGCGCCGATCTCAAAGCCGGCGGGGGCGGTGTGCAGGACCCGCGCGGGCGCTCTCCAGACTGTGAGTTTGGACCCTTCAAGAATGCGCCAGCCCTGGGTCCAGGTCTGACTCCTGCGCGGAGGCCCTCCTTGCCCCATCCCGGCTGGTGCCAGATCGCAGCTCGCCACCTGATTTCCACCCTGGGCTCCCACAGAGCCTGTGCGACGCCGCTCACAGCCCCTGGAAGCCGCCGATCTGGCTCCGCGAGAAGCCTCCTGGACGCGTAGAGCCCAAGGCCCCAGAGAGCTGCTGGCTTGCGCCGGCCAGAACGGGCGAGGCGCCAGTGGAAACGGCTCGGACTTCTCTTCTTTTCTCCTTTTCATTATTTGCTTTTATTTTTCTCTTCCCTTCTTCCACCCATTTCTCCCTCCTCTTTTGTTTTTTAAGTCCTCCCCCCACCCCCTCTTCTTTCTTTTATTGCTCGCCCACTCTCTGGTTGTCTCCTCTTCTGCTCCCACCCCCTCTCCTTTCTGTTCCTTTTCATCAGAAGGACTACCAAGCCACAGTCCCATCCTCCTAATAAGAGAAGAGGCTTTCAAGCTCATGGTGTGCCCACCAGGTGCCAGACGCTCTGCAGATTTAATGTTTTATAAGCACAGAGCTTTTGGAGGGTTCTATAGCTTGTGTAGGGGGTGGGGGGTTCCTTCCAGCTTGGGCAGCCTGGGGAGCTGGGCCTGGGGTTGGGGAAGGGGCCCTGCCCCCTCAGCCAGGTGAGATGGACCGCACAACATCTCCTCCAGAACGTCTACTGGTAGCAGGGAGGCCAGGCCAGATTACATTGCCCATGTTCCAGCCGGGACTCACACTTGCATCTGTCCTTCCTAACACAGGACTCTACTGTAGCTACCAGTCCTGTCTTCACCTGCCACCTCCCTACTCCACCACCCTGCCAAGACTGGAAGGGAGAGGGAGCTGGGCACTGCCTCCTCCAGCAGCACCTTCCATTGGGTGCTGCTTGGGAGGTGATGGAGCAAGAGGCATCGTACTTCTTTTACAGGCATGAGTTCTGGGGTCTAGAGGGGACAAAGAGAGGCTACTACCACACCACCCTGCAGATGCCAGGCAGGTACCAGATGCCTCTGGTACCCTGGCTCCAGGCCAGCCCTCCTGCCTCCTGCAGGTCTGAACTGACTGGAGATGACACACAGAGAGCATGTGGACAGGAGCTGGTGCCACCTCCATGGGCACTGGGGCTTCCCTGGCCCCTCTCCCATGTCACACTGTACTTTCTGCCTCTTCCTGCCTGTCGGTGCCAGGAATGGACTTGCAAGCCCAGTTCCCAAATGCCCAAAATCCATACATTTGCAGATGGGCAGAGCACACAGGGGACCTCAAGATGAGCGCGGGACCCCTGGTTTACAGCCCTCTTCCTGCTACTGTCCTTGAGCAACCCGATGTCCTGTCCAAGCCTCAGTTTTCCCAAATGAGAAAACAGGAGTGGGTTTTTAGGTGAATCTTTCTCCTTGCCATGGTAACAGCTTAGGTCATGGACTGAAAAACTTGTTCTATAAAGGGCCAGAAAACCAAATGTTTTAGGCTCTGCAGCCCACAGGGACCTGTTGTGGTGACTCAGCCCTGTCGTTGTAATGTGAAAGTAGACCTAGATAATGTGAAAATGAGTGGGCATGGCTGTGGTCCAAACAACTTTATTTACAGATATGAAAATCTGAATTTTATCTAATTTTCATGTTGCAAAATATGATTCTTATTTTTTTTTCAACCGCTTAAATACATAAAAACCATTCTCAGTTTGCTGGCCAAACAAAAAGAGGCAGTGGACCATAGTTTACCAGTTCTCGTGTAGTTTCAGTTCTTCTGATTGCACGTATATTGCACTTCCATATCAGACATGTTGCCTTATATTGAAATTTTTTCTTTTAATTTCTTTTTTCTAGGAAAGCATCTATTAGTTTAACAGCATTTGGGCCTTAGGAACACTGAATCACAGGGCTCATTTCCTACTCCCATTTCTGAGTTCTCAACAATTTAAATGTTTCCCTTATTAATACCATACCCAAACACTGGATTGCACAATGTACAATCATCCTCTCACTTAGTCGTTGCAACAGACTTTGGAGTAGAGATAGTTTACCCTGCCTTCCAGCTCCTTGCATACTCCTCGTGACAAGGCGCTCACTCCGTTTAGTGGCTGCCTAATGGACTGCCGAGAGCCCAGTGACCTAGGCTTGCAGCCCCAGGAAGGCGAAGGCCACCCCCGCTGAGAGTGCTTCCTCCCAGTCAGCCATTCCCATCCCTTGGCA